AGAACCAACAGACATGCAAGGCGTCGTTGAAGGCGACCAGAAGCTGCTGATCAACCGCGAAATTTGCGTCATCAGAGGAATAGCCGAACTGCGGGGAGGTAATGCAAGAGTGCTGCTCACGAACTTCAGAAATGAGTACAAGCACGTGAGCAAAGGTACGACAGTTGCCTACATCGAAGAAATACTGAAAGCCAGCAACCTTTTCACTGTCATTGATTCTGCCGAATCACTCCGATGACTCAAGCGTTTCAACTGGCTATCAATGTTAATCCGAGCCTTCCGATGCATAAACATGAGCAGCTCAAAAACCTGATCCTGAAATACAAGAACTGCTTTGCGTCGACATTGAGAATTCGGCAGACCCCTGTCGTGAAACATCGAATCGTAATAGAAGAAAATGCCACGCCATTCCGTCAGAGTCCCTACAGAGTTCAGACACGACAACACGAGGCCATAAAGAAACAGGTCAACGAAATGCTCCGCGACGACATCACCCAGCCTACAAAAAGCCCATGGGCGTCACCAGTGGTGTTAGTGAAAAAAAAAAAAGGGATTGAACACTACACTTCTGCGTTGACTATCGCTGACTGAATAAGATAATGAAGAAAAGCGTATACCCTCTCCCCCGAAGAGATGATGCCCTTGCACAACTCCAAAACACAAAATACTTCTCATCGATGGACCCCAAAAAAGGCTATTGGTAGATCGAGGTGGATGAAAAAGACCGAGAAAAGACTGCATTCATATCATCAGACAGCCTCTTCGAGTTTAAGGTTTCCCACATGAGGAAGCATTTCTTGAAATGCTTCCCACAGGAGGAAGCATTTCAAGAACTAAAACGACGCCTACAGACACCGCCGATACTTCCCCCTTTTCGACGAAAACCCCGACACAGAAATCCACACCGACACAAGCAGTGTAGGGCTCAGAGCCGTCCTGGTGCAGAAGATCGACGGACTTGAAAGGGTCATCAGTTATGCGAGCCCGTCACTAAGGCCAAAGTCAACTATTCCACAACAGAAAAGGAGTGTCTTGCCATCATTTGGGCTACCTCCTAATTTTGCCCTTACCTCTACGGCAGGCCTTCCAAAGTTGTGAGCGACCACCATGCCCTTTGTTGGCTAGCTAACTTGAAGGACCCTTCAGGTCGTCTCGCACGGTGGAATCTGCGACTTCAGGAATTCGACATCACCGTCGTTCACAAGTCCGAAGTCCGGGCGAAGGCTACTGACTACCACGTAGCTACTGACTACCACATCGTAGCTACTGACTACCACATCGTAGCTACTGACTACCACACCCGCTACGCGGAAACAAGGGCTCTGCCCAAAGTCAATGCCACTGAGTTAGCAAAGTTCTTCATCGAGAACAAGGTCTTGCATTACGGAGCTCCAGAAGTCCTCATCACAAACAGACAGCCTTTACGGTGGACCTAACTCGGGCAATCCTAAGGTACAGCCAGACGAGTCATCGCCGGACCACCGCTTACCATCCACAGACCAATAACCTCACCGAGCGTCTCAATACTGGCCATGTACGTCGACATTGAGCACAAGACGGAGGATGAAATCCTTCCGTACACGACCTTCACAAACAACGGCGTCGTACTAGAAACGACGCAGATGACGCTGTACAAGTTGGTCTACTGAAGGAAAGCGACGACGCTCGACGCCATGCTACCATACATCGTTGATGGAGAAAAATTCGCGTCACCTCCACCTTCAGCGCACGGAAGAAGCTCATCAACTCGCCCGCCTGCCAACAAGAATTTTGACAGGGTTCCTCATGACAGACTAATACTAAAATTGAACAATATTGATCTTCCTCGCATCTTAGTTTTCTGGGTTATTGATTATTTAAAAAATCGAATTCAGTATGTAGAAATTGGGGATCAGCGATCGGGTTGTCTTCCTGTCGCCTCTGGAGTACCGCAGGGGAGTGTCTTGGGACCCCTACTGTTCCTGCTGTATATAAATGACATTGTAAGTGTGGTATGTTTATCTGTGCAAATTCGTCTGTTCGCAGACGACTGTGTCTTGTATAACGAAATTACTTGCCCGGAAAATCAACATGACCTTAATCACAGTTTGTTTAATGTTTTTCAATGGTGCAATCGTTGGGGGGTGGCTTTGAACTTAGATAAAACTGTATGCATGCGTATAACCCAGAAGAAAAATCCACTTCAGTATACTTATACATTAAATGAGTCACCTCTACAGCAAGTTTGTGAGTTCAAATATTTAGGAGTAACACTCACAAGTAATTTATCTTGGAATCAACATATTGACAATATCTCCGCTTCCACCTTCCGTAAACTGTCTTTCTTACGACACAAATTAAAAAACGCTCCTCCTGATGTCAAACTCCTGGCCTACCAATCAATAATCCGACCAAAGTTAGAATATGCATGCATAATATGGGACCCGTTCACACAGAAAAACGTCAATAAACTAGAAAGAATCCAAAGAAAAGCTGTAAGGTATATATACTCTAAGTTTCGTCACACTGATTCACCTTCTGAGTTAATTAGAGCTAATGGCATTAAACTCCTTGAGTCACGACGGAAGACATTTAGGCTTAATTTTCTTTCCCAACTTCTTCAAAGACAAACAGCACTTGACCCTACACAGTACCTGACACCCATATCGACAAGGCATACGAGACACCATCACCCCGGAACCCTAACACCTTATTTTGCACGGACAGATGCATTTAAATTTTCTTTTTTTCCACGAACAGTGGAAGAATGGAACCTTCTAAAAGACTCTGTTTAAAGATTCACTTTGGTTGATTTACTGTGTGTGAACAGTGTGTTGGGTGTGTAAACCTGTACTTGTATGTTGAATCTTTCCTTTTCTACGTGACTTGAGTGCCTAACATGTACTTGCTACTTGTACCGTGCCTACCTGCTTGGACCTGTGAAGGTCTGCAGTATGCATTAAATAAAAATAAATAAGAATCAGCAGGTGGCCGACAGCCGCCGTTACAATCTTCGACGAAGCTTCATGGAGTACCGACCCGATGACAGTGTCTGGGTATGGACGTCAATACACCGACGTGGACTGAGTGAAAAACTTCTACAATATTACTTCGGACTATACAGAGTAGTTCAACCCACTCGACTACAAATGTTCCCACCGGCATTATGAACTCTCGACGGCGCCGTGCTCGACCTGACGTCGTCCATGTCATGCGCCTCAAGCCATTTCATGCGCGAACCTGAGGAATATCTTGTTGTTGATGTGCTTTATTGCTTGTAGTTATTGTTTATTGCCTTTATTACTGTACTTTCGTCCTTTGTTAAAGCATCAGGACGATGCCTTTTTCAGCGGGGGGCAATGCCACCTTCTTTTCCTCAAGTTTTGTTATCACCCCACTACACTAGGTTCAGCGCAAACCACGCCTAGGATGTTCGAAAAGCTTCGAGGTTGTAGTAGATCGTTTGGTTACGATTACGCCCACTTCGTACACATTTCAGATTATTCTGGAACCTACGTCGTGCGCTAGCGATAGCAATAGAGAACATTTGATGGCAAGTGTATAAATGCCGACGCCCTTCGCTGCTTCTCAGTTAATCGTCTGCCGACGCTTTGTTTACCGCTACCAGTGCAAGACTTTCTGTGTACCAGGCACAGGTTCACCCAAATATACAGTTTATTATCACAGCTGCAGTCTCCTTCATTCGTTCATGTCACGACTCCTTGACAATATGCTTATTTTGAGATAATTCCATGCAGCCTTTCTTGTCTCCTCAAAGTTTGATGGTGTTGCTGTCAATGTAAGTACATGTCATCAGATGTGACATGTATCAGAGCCACAGCATGATAGAAGGATTGGATAAATGGAATAGCAAACATCATTGAACATTAAATTTTTATACTATGGAATAACAGATAATGATGTGTTGTACAGATTATGCTTAATTGTACCTATTGTATGATCAACAAAGCTAATTAAAAATAATTTAATCAACCTCCACTCTCAGAAATTATTGTGCGACTGGTTTCAATATTATATAGAAGTGAAGACTGTAGATAGTGATTTAATTTTATTTGTATAGGTATTAGCATTTCTTGCAGCTGTACTGTCATCGCATGGCGATATTTTTGAGTGAATTCACAGGCCTCTTTTGTTCCAGAAGGTAAAAAAAAATCGAAGTGCTTTTCAGTGACAAAAGTGTGAGATTTCTGCATATGGGCACACAAGCGTACCGCGATGATTTTACTCGAGGGATCACTTTCGTGGGCCAGCTAGACGAAAACGTCCCAAACTCATCTGAAACATCGCCCTAGAGAAGTGGTAACACCGGTGTCACGCAGTCCTTTTCGAACGCGACTGCGCGCCTTGACAATTAAGATTGTCTCCTTTACACAAACTGAATAAACGAGCCATACACCAGCTCAGAAATTTGATGCCGACCGGGCTCATCACGAGGAGAAGGGTACCGTGCGACTCGGGCATAACAAAACAATGCAACCACGCAGCGATAAGCAATGCAGTGCAAAGCGCACACCACTGATCAGTTCATAACAATGCAACTCACGAGGAAACGGGAGCAATAAACAATAGATAGTCAAACCAAGAGCGCAGTGACAACGCGATTTCGCACTCGTTCAGCACGAGCGCATACCATCGCTTCAGCAAAAAAAAAAAAAAAATGTTCGACAGCTATCGCGCAGTTAAAATCGAGCAGGAAAAAGTCAAGGTGACGCCCTCGTCAGAACGAGCTCGATTGAGGAATGATTATTTTTTCTTTCAGCTCCAACACTCTGACGGCACTATAAATCATTGCGTCATACACTGCTCGTATCAGCCGCTGCCCTAAGCGGCGTTTGGGATCACGTCATTTGCTACCGGAGACACTGTTGCTACGTTGTAAAAACAATCCCTCGCTACCAGCCTCCTTCCTAAACTGCTTGCTCACGCGCGCAAAGACGCTCCGGCGTAGACGGCCTATGCTAGCACTCGGATTTCGCTAACGAGTAAGCAAAATAACTCACTTGTCGAGCCAGAAGGTCCACTCGGTTTGAAGCGGGACGCCTTCTTCGCCGTTGTCCGGCATTTTCGGCTTTACGTCGCAGCGATCATCGAGCAGCCGACTGTCTACCTCCGCATCTGCCATTTTGCGCAGAGCCGCCAAAGCAATCGCACGTGATGTGAAAAACAACCAAACTCTGCCCTCACCCTCTCTCGAAAAGCAGTTTCGGTTTCGTTTGCCGTTTTAGGAACGCGAAGAAAACTTCCAGGACTTGGGAACGGGGTCTACTCACGACTTTAGACCCGGAATGGTTGACTATAAGTAGCTGGATAGCATAAAACCATGAATAAGAGGAGTTTAAAATAGCCAGCGGCGTAGGCCACTAAAGATCACGCTTGAGATGAGCCGAAGTTCTGGCTGTTCGCGCTGTTCAAATGCTATAAGAGGCGTAGCGAACGATACGGCGATCTGTTACACCCTCAACTGTTTAAAAGCGCACGAAAACGCAACATTACCCGCTTTATCAAAAGTACGATCTATCAAAATTATCAAAGCATATAGGTGTTTTGTGATGAAAGCTTAAACGCTCAATCAACACGTGATCAAAGACGATTTCGCGAGCCAATAAAAAGGGCAAAAGTCGGTCCAATCCAGTGCGCCAAACGCGAACAATGCACAGTAGGTCGTAAAACAATGCGGCGGGAGATACGGCGGTTACACCTAACACGCTGTTATGCCGCTGTTTGTCGAGTCTTTGGTGGGAGAATATGCCTCGTGTGGCTGGAAACAGATTTGCCCATTCACGGTGAGTTTGCAGCCAACCATATCTGCCGCTGACAGCAGCTATGTGCTCCAAAAGTGCGTAGGCACGCCGCACGTGCGCAACAGCCATGCCCTGACGGACGGAAGGTGAGGGTTGTTTCTTTTGCTGCCGTTTTTTTTTTTCTTTCTTTTTTTGTAACCATGGAGCGTCTATAATTACGCTCAAAGATATAAACGGAGGCAGGCCAGGTCCGTCTGCTTTCCGCACAACCGAGAAGCTTCGCTCGCCGGTTGCATTCGTACACGGAACAACTGCTACTTTTCGCGTACCGTAGAAACGCAGGAACGAAAACGGGCCTGGCCGCCCTGACGCCTTTAAAATCCTGCCAAGGCTCGCCGAGATACTAGAGCATTCAATTTCCAGCGCTGTTGTACTCGAATAACAATGCTCCCAAACTACAGCGGAGTGATGCGCCTAGCTGCACGGTAGTCGGCAGGATTTTCTCGGTGGGGGGGGGGGGGGGATTCAACAGTGTTGCATCGCTTCTGAAAGAGGGGCAATGGTGTAGCGCGGGTGAGTGCAAATGCCTGTGGGGCTTGAGAGGCGCAGGTGCCCCTTTTGTGCCTCCCCCCCCCCCCTGCCGACGTCCATTCCTAGCTACCGTCGTAAGTACCATAGAGCTATATATTTACATAAAGAGCGTACACTCCCGTAGGGCCTTGCGGCACAGCTATGATGATGATGATGATAGGGAGTTTTAGAATACCGTTTGCAAGTGGTGCGGGCGTAACGGACGCCATGTGAGTTTTAGAATAGCGTTTGCCCTGCTCTGCATACCGCAACGCACGATCGCAGCGACATCATATCAAACTGTAAAGAAAATTGCACGTGCAGACAAGTTGTAATTAAAGAAATATATCTAGCTTTATTGTCAATAATATTAGTACGCGCGAAATGTTTTCCGGTGAATGAAAAATTTTTCAATGGAAGAGGCACAGCCACAAACGCAGTCAATGTAATCCAACCCGAAGGGGTTCTTCTTGCCGTTTTTTATGAAACGTTGGCTGTCTCGTCTCCCGCAAAAATGCCTTGGCATCGACGAATGTGTCGCAGCATTTTGTGCCACGCAGTGGCTTATTTCGACACGTCGTGGAGTGATCTGAAGGGCCTATTCTTCGAAGTGCCCGCGATACCGAGACCACGCGCGTACAAGTCTGCTGGCGGGTTCATCAACGCCAGCGCCCTGGACCCCCAGACCTTCCTACGATGGTTCCGTTTCGAACAGGAGCATCTTGAACAACTGAAGGATGGTCTGCGCATACCCTAGGTCATGCAGAGCGCGCAGGGTGTTGTCGTGCCTGGCGAGGAGGCCCTTCTAATGACACTGCGACGGCTCGCCTATCCGAACTGGTAGTGCGACCTCGAACCACTGCTTGGGTGGACACTAGTTCAAGAGTTGAACCATTGTGGTTGCACAATCAAAAACTGTAGCATTGTACATGGCAGACAAGCCAAGGCAACTCCCAGTACTTTATTTATTTATTTATTTATTGGTACTGCAATCCCCTGGAGGGATTTTAGCAGGTGGGTACAAAAGACGTAAACATCAGCATATAACACCAGGCAAACAGATAGAACAGCCTATCACATTTCACATAGTAGGCAGCCATATAACACAAAGCAAACAAATAACTATCACTTGCACTTTACAACGTAAACAAACGTAACAAAATTTGATGCTTTGCCAGCGATGTGAGGTGGAAGGAAGAGTGATTCTATTGCCACGACTGGTAGCCTCGCCGCATTTCTTTAGCCTCGTAATGGCAACATTTTTGTTAACATCGCGGTTAACATTTCTTTCAACTCGCAGGAAATATGTCCAACTGGGCACATTTGTTGCGAGATTTGTTTTGCCTCGCTTCAAAGAGAAATGCTGCAGTAGGGTATTGAATGTGTGATGTTCATTGCGCACTGCTGCGCCTTCGTGACCCTATGAAGCTCTATACATGTTGTACGTTCGACTTCAAGCCACAATGTCATTGAACCTTTTAGCACAGCGTCTGTCACCCTTGTAAGTTTCATACGTCCATAGGTTGGCAAAACTATTGTACTTCAATTAGCAGAAAAATTCCCCTCTCAGGGCTTGCTTGAATTCACACTCTCTGCAAGTTTCTAAACACTCACCTGGGCTCTTACTGATTAACCCTTACCAAGACTTCCATCTCACTAGAATAAGCTCGTTGCACGCTCAAGGTCACATCAGCTGTCTAATTCATGCTCAAACTCTGCTCTTTTTTTCTTCGACTACACCTAAATGGTCTCAAGGCCCACGCTGAGTCCATCGGCTCATCAGAAAGTTTGCAAACCTATGCATATGTCACATGATCTCACTGGGAGCCTTGCTTGTAGAGGCGTGCTTACACAGAAGTTCGTGTTTGCTGTATGAGTTGTATGTACCATTTCCGTTGTGCTATAGTGTGCTGTTCTGGTATTCTGAAATGATGTCTAGTCATGTTACATTTCAATGCTGTTTCGATGGTTCATGTATTTGTTGCCTCAGGCTAATACGAATTTTCATGTTCTGCAACAACTGCTCCTTATTCGCCTGTGGCAAAGTGTTCAAGAAGGCGTTTGCACATGTTACACTTTCTCCACGTGCCCGGCCCAGGAATGCTTCCATTAAGTAATAGTCGAATACAACCTTACAAGTCCACAAAGGCCCAGGCCAGGTTACCGAAGCGTGGCAGGCAGTTGTTCGTACGGCTCAAAAAATAGTCCTAAGACTGCACCTGACAATGCTCGGCGAAAAATAGTTCATGAGCCAATAGTACAACATTTCTGTACAGAGAGTGCCCATTTAGACAGGCTTGTGTTCGTTACCCTTTGAAAAGAAAGTACGGCAGACTTTTATGGTTGTATGCAGATAAATTACTTTTTCCTTATTGCATGCTACTATAAAGGAAAGCTCAAAGCCTTTTTCTTTCATTTTTGTTCTTCGGCTTCTTTTGCTGTCTTCATAATTAGAACATAGCCAGGGAAATTTCTTACTGCTGCAGTGGTTTCACGGCACTTACCTGAGCGTGCCCTTGCTGCACCTGAGGCAGCGCTAGCATTGGCTGCTGGACTGGTGCTCGACCTTGCGAAGGGCTGCGCTCCTTCGTGCGTGGCGAGGTTATGGGGGCCAGCACCTCGTACGGCTCTTCAGGGGCCGAGGAAACCACTTCCACGCTTTCGAAAGCGCCTGTTGCCCCTAAATGAAATGACAATTGCTCATGAAATTGCAGTTCACATATTTACTATTTCAGTGTGTCACAAATGCCGCTCAGTGCTGCCGGTTACGGCTGCCGGCAACGCATGCACGACGCTGCCGGCTGCAGCTGCCGGCAACGGAGCCTGGCAGAGCGCCGCCCTCCTGGCTGCCCCAAGACAGATGCGGTAGCCATGTTCTCTGGCTACCTCGAGAATTTCTTGGAGAAGATGTTTTTTCTCTCCGTATTGTTCTTCTGTTCCTGATCGGCAAAAGTGGCACCTTTAGCTTTGACCTATCTAAATACCCTCGGAGACAATGCTACTGAAAGTGAAAGTGCACTTACTTTCTCAGGTTGGCGCGGTCTTCCCTAGCGAATTGCGCCAGGAGAAGGTCTCACCTCTCTCTGATGGCTCGCGCGCTGATAGCTCTTGCGAGCGCCAGGGAGAGGTTTTCCGCTTTTGTGAACCAACGCGTGGGTTGTTTGTAGGGGTCTTGCTCCCTAACCTCATGCAACATGTATATGTCAGTTTCAATGGTGAAATGAAACACCTTTTGTGGAGGCTCTATTCCGGCGTTTCGTTCGCTTGAAAGCGAGCGGCAAAGCAGCGACTTGCCGCTCTGCTCGCCTTGGCCGTGGTTTCGGCTGCAGCCATCTCGTGATTTCACGCTGCGACACCGTAGCCTTGAAACCAGCGTTTGCGGGCCGCCATTACCGCACGCAATTTCGGATTTTTCGCGTGCTGTCCGCAAACGCGAACGCCGGCTTGCGTACGACGCATGCGCAGTGGCAGCGACCGCACCGCAAGGGCTCGCGGTGCGCTATTCTAAAACTCCCTGATGATTTGATGCTATGCCCTTTTTAGCGGGCGGGTGTAGTGGCACCCTAGCATATAAATCGGTGACAAAAAAAACACACGAAATCACGCTCTGCTTGATCTGCTACCTGTCACTGCACTGTGCCACCCAGTGCTACACTGTCACTGCACTGTGCCACCCAGTGCTTTCGCTCGCTGCGAGACCACTGCCCTCCAGCGCTCGAGACGCTGCATCGTCTCCTTTACTGCTTGTGGATTAATCACACCATCCTCACCCGGGAGGCCTATTTGGCCGCACTCGAGCACAATGTCCGCAATTGTTTCCTCCGCACTGCCACACGCACGACACAACATCGAAAGCACCGCGTTGTCGAACGTTCTTCTGTAGGCGAGGGTTTGGAGCGCGCCTGGGCGAGCCTAGAAAAGAAGTGAGCCCCCGATGCCGTTGTCGTACAAACGAACTGCGTCGATGGTGTCCTTGTAAGTTTGGTATAGTTCGAAAGTGGCTTTGACACTCATTGCGTGCCGCCACATTTCCCTCTCCTTCTCACGAACCCGCTCTCGCACTTCCTTGGTATATCGCCTTGCGGTTTCAGCCTGTACAGGTTCCGTGAAGGTTATGTACTTCTGTTC